TATTATTCAATATCTGAATTCCTGAGCTTCTTGACTATGGACTTTCCACTCTTCTTTCTCCACCAAATTCCTCTATTCTGCCCTGTGTTTTTGACTTCCCAACCACGGAATGACCATTTTTTCAGGACTATGAACCTTTTGAGGGCTCTTCTCTCTGATCATTGATCTTGTCTTGGCTTGCCAACCCTTAATTTCTAACCTCCTACAATCTTTAGTCTCATGTCCAATGCCTTTACATTTCTGACATTTTACTAGTTTCAATTCATACTTCACTTGTTGTTCTTGCAGATTGCCATGCTCATCTTCAAACCAAACTGTTTCTTGGATCTTCCCTTTAATATCCACCTCCAAAAGGACCCTAGCATAGCCATCTCATCCATTTCCAAAGGGTTCCCTATCAAACTAGCCAATCTGCTCAGCGTGGTAACATTCCAGTACCTCAATTTCAATTTCGATAACTGTATCCAAATAGGCACCTTTTTTATTTCCTCCATCTTCATATCATCGCTAACTAACCAGTCCTTGACAATGAAAGGACGATTATCAAAATGATACTCCCTCCGTCCCATAATTATTGTCCACTTTACCCAAAAAATTTTGTCCCAAAATTATTGTCCAATTTGACTTTTTATGGATCAAGTTACACATTTGTCCTTAGTAAAAAACATTATCCATAAAATCTTAGTGGTTAAACAATTACTTATGTAGGGGTATATCCGGTTGTTTAAGGTAAAATATAGTAAAGTTTGACCAAAAATAAAATTTTTCATTTTAGTAAAATTGGACAATAATTATGGGACGGAGGGAGTACATGTTATGCTTAGAACCCCCTCCTTTGATGCCATGGACTTAAACCTCATCACAAACACACTTTTTTCCATCAAAAGCACTTTATCTACCCCAAGTTTTCCCCAATTCCTCCTAATATAGCCATTAACAACTGCATATGGCGGATTTGCTCCTAGAACATAGCACAGAATTGAAGGCTTCCAATACTCAATTTATTTTCCTATCTCATCAGCAGTTACCTTCCCAATCATTCGATTATTCACTTTTTCAGGCTATATGAACTTCAGTTTCCTATCATTCTATTTTTCAAGCTCTGGATTAAAATGATTCCAAGGATTTTCCATTGATTGATCGTTTTTAATCCCACATCTCTCACCGCTCTCCACAATTTTCAGCTTACTTAATTATTCAAAGACCAAATTCAAACCACTTAGAATAGGGAAATTGTATTTCATTCATGGATCGGTATATACAATATACAGACTATATATAGACAATAGTAAACCCTAAACAAAGACATAATAGGAAATATATTAAATATTACAATACGCCCCCGCAAACTGACGGCGGAGAAGAGAGAAGCCGAAGTTTGTCCCGGAATCGAAAGAATAACTCTTTGGACAAGGGTTTGGTCAGAATATCAGCAAGTTGATCAGCAGCAGAGATAGAGTTGACCGAAACAAACTTGCGTCGAACATGATCTCGAACAAAGTGAAAATCAACCTCAACATGTCTGGTACGAGTATGAAACACAGGATTGACAGCAAGAAAAACTGCACTACTGTTGTCACACCAAATAGAGGGAGGGCGATGTAAAGAAACGCCTAACTCGGACAACAGATGACACACCCAATGCAATTCAACACAGACATTAGCAACCGCACGAAATTCAGCCTCAGTAGACGATCGAGCCACAGTGGGCTGCTTCCGAGATGCCCAGGCAAGGAGATTAGATCCCAAATAAATGAGAAAGCCAGTAGTAGAACGATGATCATCCGGACAACCAGCCCAGTCTGCATCACTGTTGATCCATTCGAATTTAACTGCGCATTTAATGCTTCAGAATTAGGTTTGCTTACCGGATTCGAGCTTAATTGATTCACTCCTCCATCACTGTTGTGTTGATTCTTTCCGTCTTTCACTTGATCACGAGCTTCCACTTCAGCTCCTCCTCCTTGCTTCTTCGATTTCTTCGCCATTTGGTGAAGGCAAAATGCGTCGGAGAAATCACGGCGAAGAACACGCAGTTGAGGTGAAATCGCCCACAGTAGCAGCGATGAAATGCAAATTTTAGTGGATATATTGGGGATAGAAGTAAATTGTGTTGTACGTGTTATTGTTTTTATTTTTGTATGTATTAATCCATGTGTTTGAAATAAATGATAGAAAGCAAGTTAAGATATTATATGAATAGTGTAAATTTTTGTCTTGATTTTTAGTTCCAAGAGATAAAAGTAAAATTTTTTTGAATTTGAAAGGTTGGGTCTAAAGTATTTAATTTCTGGAAGAAAGTGAAAGGACGTCAAACTAGAGGAAACAAATAAAATCCAATATTTAAAATTTATAAATTTCCATAATCAAACATTATACTTATTATATACTCCCTTTGTGCTAAAAAGCAATTTACGTTATAAAAAATAAAATGTATTATGTTTTTATAAATATTTATAAATTACAATATAAACTATTAGTATCATGTAGAAAATATAATTTATATAACCAACTAGATGGATTGGACGCGCTTCGCGCGTATGAAAAATATAATGACATTTTAAAAGTGAAATTTAAATCTATATACTATACTAAGGCAAAAACCAGAGAGAGGGATCTAAAGTCAAGGAGCACATGCCACATAAGATTTTATCCTATGTGACATTTTCTTAATTTAAAAGTGACATTTTCTAGTTATAAAAATGCACAAAACCAAACCATAAAAACCAAAAAAAAAACGTAACTGAAAAATATAAAAAACAAACATCGACAACACTTTACCAAACGAATACACTGGTAATTTATTTAACGCAAAAAAGATTGTTAAGAAATTAAAAAAAATGAACTTTGAATTAAACAATTATATATCTTGTAATATTTTTTGGTAGACTATATTGGTAGTCTGGGGTAGAAAGGTTGGCTAGGGTGGTTAAGAGATTATGATAAGGATTTTTTATTTTTTTTTTGAAAAGGTTTATGATAAGGAATGGTTACTGCAAAAACAACAATCCTAACCTGTTGTAGAGGCCATATAACTTTTTAATAAGAAAAATAAAAATAAAAAATAAAAAAAGTTGGATATCAGGACATTTATTCCTTGTCTCGGAGTGACTTTTATTTTCAATGTTTTTATTTTATTATTTTCTTTTTTAAATATAATGCATTCTCACTTTATATTTAAAAAAGAAAGTAATAAAGAAAATAATAAAATAAAAACACTGAAAATAAAAGTCACTCCGAGACAAGGAATAAAGGTCCTGATATCCAACCTTTTTTTATTTTTTATTTTTATTTTTCTTATTAAAAAATTGGATGACCTCTACAACATGTCAGAGTTGTTGTTTTTGTAGTAACCATTTCTTATCATAAACCTTTTCAAAAAAAAAAAAACAAATCCTTATCATAATCTCTTAACCACCCTAGCCAACCTTTCCACCCCAGACTACTAATGTAGTCTACCAAGAAATATTGCAAGATATATAATTATTTAATTCAAAGTTCATTTTTTTTAATTTCTTAACAATCTTTTTTACATTAAATAAATTACCAGTGTATTCGTTTGGTAAAGTGTTGTCGATGTTTGTGTTTTATATTTTTCAATGAATTCATTATATATTTTATAAAAATACAAAAATCTATACAAATATTAACATTTTTTTGATTTGCTTGTGTAGTAATTTCTATGTATATGTGCTCCCCGTCCATCGGACGGGTCTAACACCTAGTAATAAAAAATTATAAGTTACTTTGTTTGTTGTGACATTGTATTCAAAAAATATCTACAATAAATTTTAATTTACAAAGTTTACTATGTGGATACTATATATGTCAACTAAAATGGCCATTTCCTAATTCCAGTAGAAGTAACACATAGTCTTCTAATCAAAAAAGAAAAACAACTAATACATCAAATATCAAAGATGAAAATTAAAATAAAATGAAAAGAACATAATAATTTAGGTAGTTACCTCAAGGAACTTGTGATAGAGAGAGATTAAGGAGGGTTAGGAACATATTCTTTGAAGAAAAAAATTCAAGCAAAGAGAAATGACAAAACTTTTGCAATTGAGAATTATATATTTGTGAATTCAATATGCAAACCTTTTAATAATACTATGAATCAACCTTTTAATAATAGCAAACCTTTTCTTAAGTTATGCAACCTTCTCCTCTTTCCTCACTCTCTCGGCGCATGATAGCCCCCTGCTAAAGTGCGCCTCGCCATGGCACGAGGGAGGAAACCAAGTCAGAAAGCGACAATCGGAGAAGCGAAGAATGCAGAAGACCAGACAAAAATGAGTATCAAAACAAGGAATCAGCAAAATCGAAGGAGAAATTGCATATCTCAGAGAGTAACAGCGAGAATAGATCGAACCCTAAGTCAAAAGGGGATGACAAAATAAAGCAAACAGAGAAGCAATTGGGGGTCGAAAATCAATTGAATGAGAAAGGGGAACAATCAGGAGTCAAGAAACTAAATTGCGCACGAATCACAGGAAGATGGCAATAAAGCTAGTTTTTGGGAGACTTTTGATGTGAATTGATTGAGGAAATCTGGGGCCAAATTATATTATAAACCACCAAAGGTGATTAATGGAGCGCTAATTGCTAATATTCAACCTGAGAAAGTCCAGCAAGAGGCAGAGTATTGGCAAAACTCAGTGGTCAGCTTCGTTCTCAGTGCAAACCCACCGTACTCCGTTATGAATGCATACTACAGGAAACTGCGGGGAGGAGTTGACAAGCCAATTCTTTTACCCTTTGGCCTATTTGTTATCAGAGTTTCGAATTCAGTTGCTAGAGATGATGCTTTAAAGTTGAATATCTATCATTTTGGAAACGGCCATCCAGTCATAGTTAAACCATGGTCCGTACAAAAGGACATATATTATAAAGAGATAGAGAGGGTTCCTGTCTGGATTCAGTTGCCGAATTTCTAACTAAAATACTGGAATCTTGACTCTTTGAGTAGCATAGCCAGCACTATAGGCACTTCTATAATGACAGACAAGCTGACTGCAAGTAAGGAACATGTCAATTATGCTGGACTACTTGTAGAAATGGAGATACAAGAAGAGGTTCCTGAGCAAGTAGTATTTGAGGATGAAATAGGGATCATTCAGGTACAAGAAGTAAGGTACATACGGAGACCTGTTAAATGCAGAGAGTGTCAAGGGTTTGAGCTTGAAACAAAGATTTGCAGAAGGAAAAAGAACCCGGTGCAGGAAACCCCAAAACCTGTACCAGTTAAGAAGACCCCAGATGAGAAGGAATGTAGACTAGTGGAAAGGCCGAAAAGTCTAACTAGGAGCAGGGGAAATGATGATCTCAATGCCAACCAGAGGAAAGAGATTGCTAACAAGGGCCCTGCTACGAGTCATTTGAGTTTTGAAGTACTGAACAGCTTGGCAGATGATGAAAATAGTGAAAGGGAAAGGCAGAAGAAACCATAAATGAGAAAGAATGGGGATGGAATGGAGAATATAGATCTGGATCCAGGCCCTGGGATCCATGTGTAATGTCCTATCTTGGAACATCATGGGCATGAATGCCCCTTTAAAACAGAATAACAGAATGAACTCACTAGAGTCATTGCTATAAATAAGATAAAAATAGCAAATATTGTGGAAACGAAGTTAACAGAGGAGAAGGGGAAGGAATTTATGAAGAAGGCACTACCAACTTGGAAACAACACATGAGCCTTGATCACAATCAAAAAGGAAGAATCATGTTGATGTGGGATGATGCAATGAGAGTGCAAGTACTTAGCAGATCAGACCAATACCTGCACATTTTAGTATATGATCAGAAATGTCAGAGTGAATTCTACTTGACTGGAATTTATGATGGGAATAGGGAAGGTGACAGACTTGAACTGTGGGAAGAACTCAAAGTACTCAACCTAAATGTTGATAAAGCATGGATGATTTTAGGGGACTTCAATAATGTCCTCAAACAAGAGGAGAAGGTGGGGGAGATGCAGTGACTTTAAATGAAATTGAACCATTCCAACATTGGGTAAATGATTGCCAACTCGAGGATATGAGGCAACGGGAGAAAAACTTCACATGGAGTAATAAACAAATGGGGGAAGCAAGAATCTATGCTAAGCTCGACAACATATTGGTAAATGGAGAGTGGATTGAGCAGCATGATCAGGCCATTACCACTGCATTCAATGAAGGAGTCTCTGACCACACTCCTTTGTTAGTTCAGATGGAGGTGGAAATCCAACAAACCAAAACCATTCAAGTACCTTAATATGTGCAAGCTGGACCCTAGCTTTCTTGATATAGTGGAAAAGAATTGGTGGATGAAGGTGACAGGCACAAAGATGGTCCAAATAGTTAGGAAGTTGGAATACATGAAGAGGGATTTGAAGGCACTAAACAGAAGGAAGTTTTCTGAGATTCAAGTGAAACAGATACACGCGCAGGATGCCATGCAGACACTACAACAACAGCTTGTCCTGGCCCCAAATGATATACAACTTCAGGCAGCAGAGAGAGAAGCCTACCATCACTATATTAAAATTACCAAGGTTGTGGAGAGTTTTATGAGACAAAAACTCAAAGAAGATTGGATAAGGGAGGGAGACATCAACAACAAATATTTCCACTCCAAATTAAGCAAAAATTGGTCAGAAATTGCATATGGTCAATCACAGTTGAAGAAGGCAGAATTGAAAGAGACTGGAATGAAATAGAGAGCCACTTCATTAACTTCTTCCAAAAACAACTTGGCCAACAATCCCCAAGGAAGGTGGTGAGACAAGAAATATTCTGTAAGGGGCCTAGACTGAATCTAGAACAACAGATCAAGCTTAGGGAACCAATTAGTAAGCAGGAAATCAAAGCAGCACTCTGGAGCATCAACGTAAACAAAAGTCCCGGCCCGGATGGGTATGTAAGCGACTTTTTCAAAGCTGCATGGAGCATTATTGGAGAGGACATAACTGATGCTGTTATGGACTTCTTCAAAACTGGTATGCTTCTCAACCAATTTAACTCCACTATTATAGCTCTTATTCCAAAAATTGAGAATGCATCTAATGCTAGCCAATTTCAGCCTATAGCTTGTTGTAATGTCTTGTATAAAATTATCTCGAAAGGTTTATGCAATAGGCTTAAATTGGTGTTCCCAACTCTAGTAGATGAAAACTAAGGGGCATCTGTACAGGGTAGAAGTATTCTTCATAATATCCTTATGACCCAGGAACTTATTAGACTGTACAATCGTAAGAAGGTTACTGGTAAATGTATGATGAAAGTAGACCTCCAAAAGGCGTATGATTCAGTTGACTGGGACTTCGTTGAAGAGTGTCTTAAAGGTTTTGGATTTCCCAGTAAGTTTACAGGGTGGATCATGGCTTGTATTAGAACCACCTCATTTACGTTAAACCTAAATGGAGCAAATGTAGGGCTTTTTGATGGTAAGAGAGGACTGCAGCAAGGTGACCCAGTTTTGCCCTTGGTATTTGTCCTAGTAATGGAATATTTCACTAGGTAATTGAAAGAGGTAGCTGAGCAGCCCAAGTTCCAATTTCACCCACTTTGTAAAACCCTAAAACTCACGAACATCTGTTTTGCTGACGACTTGATGATCTTCTGCAAACCAGACTTGTTCTCTGTGACTTGCATAAAAGAGGCTTTTAGTGAATTTTCTCTTACATCTGGTCTAAAGACAAATCCTATGATGTCTGAAGTGTTTATAGCTGGAGTTGATATGGCTTTAAAGAGTGAAATATGTGACCTGGTTGGGTATAAGAAGGGGGTATTTCCAATGTGATACCTTGGAGTGCCTGTATCACCGAAAAAGTGGAGTCAAGTTGAATGCCAAGCACTACTAGAGAGAATAACCAGTAAACTCAAGTGTTGGAGTACAAGGAATTTGTTGTATGTAGGGAGACTTCAACGGATAAATTCTGTCTTACTTCACCTACATGTATACTGGGCTTCAGCTTTCATTCTCCCTCATAGTATTACAGAAGCAATTAATAATAAATGTCGTGAGTTCCTCTGGGGTGTCAAAGAATTAGGGAGATACCATGCGCTTGTAGGTTGGGATCAGGTATGTAGAAGGAAGAAGGAAGGAGGAATGAGTATCCATGATGCAAGAGTTTGGAATGATACGGCTATCTTAAAGCAAGTTTGGTGCTTAGCTAACAAAAACGACTGTTTATGGGTGAAGTGGACTCATGAAGTTTACTTAGGGAAGAAAAGTATATGGGAAGTCCACAGCAAGTAGCATCATAGCTGGCAGTGGAAACAAATCCTCAAGATCAGGGATAGAGCAAAAGATGGCTTCAGAGAAGAGAAATGGCTGGGAGACAGAAATGACAAATACTCAATCATAGCAGGGTATAGATGGTTGCAAGGCCCTAGAATGCATAAGCCAGAGGCTGCTATGATCTGGTCTAGACCCAACCTGCCTAAATACGCTTTCATAACCTGGTTAGTATGGCAAGGTAGGGTCTGGACTAAGGACAGATTGAGACAAGTGAACATTCCAGTACAAGATAGCAAATGTTGTTTATGCGAAATGTTGGATAAGACAATAGACCATCTGTTTTTTTTGCTTGTCCAACATCAAATGAACTAATAGGAAGAGTAAAGGAATGGTTGGGATTGAGAAGGTTTACTGTGCAACATGGGAAGTGGAAACAGGAGATGCAGAGTATATGGAAAAGAGCTAGCTTCAAAAAGCAAATCTGAACTACTATTGTGATAGCGTGTATCTACAATCTATGGCAGGAAAGAAATGTTAGAATCTTCAGAGTAGAGAAGAGGTCAATTGATACCATCTTTCAGGACATACAAAGTACAGTGAGAATCAGAATGCACCAAGCCAGCAGGAAGAAAAAGACTGTAGCTGAACTGAGAATTTGGCAGCAGTATTTTGTAGAAAATGTGGGGAATTTTGTTGTATAGATACAATGTAAATAGAGCTTTTTGATAGAGAATCTGTACTCTCATGCTCCATTTTGGTATGTGTGTGTGTGTGTGTATATATATATATATCTCACAGCTTTTCACCAAAAAAAAAAAATTATGCAACCTTTCTTTAAATTCTCATAAAACAAAACCATTCAATTCAAAGAAAAGAAGAAAAGTAAAAGACATTGAAAAGCTTGGAGTGATTAGAAATATCAAAATTGGTTATTTGACCATTCGAATTTATCTAATAATAAACAATAAATTTTTATTAATCTTAAAAATAAAAGGAATAAAAAAGAAAATTAATAATGGAAGGATATCAAAGATGAGAAGTAGGAAAGATAGAATTTAATGGGAAACCAAACTGAGTGTAACGGTTGTCACGAGATCAAATGATGTAATGAAGGAGATAATGGAGTTGTGATAACAAAATTGAGCTTAAATGTTGTGCGGTAATTAAAGTAGAGATAAATGAAGGAGGTGAAATGGTTAAAATTAAAAAAATTATTTAAAAGATATGTGGTATTAAAGGAGAGGACTACCAGACCTAAAAGTTAGACAGTAATTATAATATAGGTAGATAATATAAGATGTAGAGTGCATGAATATATATTGGTCATGATGGATCCTATGTTCATTCCATCTAAATGAACTTATGCAGGATGTACAATTCTCATTATGCTATCAGTGTATCCTTTGGTGGCAAGGTGGGGGTATCTTAGACGGATTGAACTTCAGCAACCAAGTCCAAATGTAGATTATGATCTCAAAATAGAAAACTTCCCAGGCAGCTCAGAAGCATTAGAAATTGAAACTCATCTGAAATTTTGTTATGGGTTGCCAATAGGCTTAAACCCAAACAAATGTAGCTGAACTAAGATGTGCTTCGGAATTTCTAGAAACGACTGAAGACCTAGAAGATGGAAACCTCATCTTTAAGGCTGAAGCATTCTTCACATTTGTGGTTCTTTCGTCTTGGATGGATTCCATTATCATGTCAAACCCCATCTTCCATGGGCTGAAAACCTTCAGATTGTCTGAAGATATTGCCGCGACTCAATTTCCAGGAAGGCTAGTCAAGAAAACTCAGGTGCAGGGGAAAACATTGGTGAAGAAGATTGGTGGTCAGAGGACGTGGCTACACTTCGAATTGATCATTTTACAAAAAAAAAAAGAAAAAAATAAAAATGTAGCCCTGAAAGCCAAAGGAATGAATCCAGAAATAATAGTTTCATATTTCATGTATTATACTAGTAAGTGTACTCCCACCTCAAAAAGAAGCTGACTTGTAAATTCCTTATATGGATGGTGACGGTGGCCCTGGTATTTTCTACATCACAAGCTTTAATTTCGGAGCTTGAGAAAAGAGCTGGAATAGATTTGGAGAAAGCAAATGTTAATGACCTTTTGATACCAACTTATACAGTGAGTTCATAGTATGTTAAATTTTTTGAGTCATAGAGTTTAGATACTTAACCCAAAGAAGGTTTTGAAAGTAATGTTGACGCGGATGTGG